TCCCGTGCCCCGCCCCCCCCCGGCGCCCCCACTGTACAGAGCCGCCACTGCCGACTGGACGCTGTGGAGACACCTCTGTCGCAGAGACTTCCCAGGTGAGGCCCATGGACATGCCACAACAGACGATGACGTCATATTTGTGAAATAATCAACTTGACGTGTTTGCAGGTTTGAATCCAGTTCCCAGACCATCTTCAGACACAGACTGGAAAGAGGTGAGATGACCCCACACTTGAAGTGGTTCAATCACAGCTGATTACACTGACCAAACTTTGTTTCCAGATCTATAAGACCTTGTACAAACGCCGAGCTCAGGAATCCTCTGTCCTTCGCCCCGGTTACCTCCCCATGCCTTATGGCTTCGAGCCGCCGGGCTTCCTGTACGACATTTTTGTCCCTCCTTGTCCTCCGCTGGTGCCCGGCATCATCGGTGGTGAGTATGACATGAGACCCATCCTGCCCTCCAACATGCTGCCCCGCCCTCGCTACGATCCAATCAACCCCCTGTCTGGACATCAGCATCGTCCCCCGCGAGATGACCTCTTGGGCCGGCGATCTTTAAGAGGACGATCTGCAGACATACGGCGAGGTTTTATCTGAGGCTGTAAAGGTTAAATGTCTCTGAAATAATGAAATGCACCCTTGGAATTATCAGCAGGATATTGACACTGGATCAGCCACAGAAGGTCAGATTGAAAGAACAGATTTTATTTTATTAACAAAAGACTTGTCTAACCAGACCTCAGCTTCCAGTTCCAACACCTTAATATCATGTCTGTAAAACAACTAAGAACAGCAACATTAGCCTTTCTTTTGTCTAAAACCATTAAAAACAAAGCTGTGTGGAAAATGACTGCTATAGTTTCAAAATAAAAGTTTTGGATTTTTATTTTGTATTTGCGACAGGAGAAGTTTCTCAGATGGTGGACTAATGTGTTTAAAGCCGACTTTGGTGACTTAAAAATCACAGATAACTACAATTTAAATGTGATATTTTGTTACTTCAACCTTGATGGATTGGCAGCAGTGACCCACATTATCTACAGCAGACAACTTTAAACCTACAATCCCTGTGTTTCCATATTCTTAATACACTGATTTGATCTTTGGGCAGTTTGTCATCATGTCTACATTATACTGATGGCTAATGGAACCACAAGACAAAAATGCACTTTGTCACTGTTTATTTGCTTGTGAAGTTGGTGATAATGATTGTGTAACAGACAGCATTTTGATAAAATAAGTATTAAAATGTGTTGTGTAAGACTTTGTCCTAGGTTTTGTGACAGCCCAAAAGGTCTTTGGCCTGGAACGCCTCCACGAGCTGTAACGCTGCAGCTTCTTCGGTCATTTGGCATAATATTTTTTTTTTCTGACTGAGACGCACTATAACTGATTTCTTTTACTGTAGGAACCAGTGCTGATAACAGTTTTACATAAAGAGAAAAGGCTACGATAAATGCGACATGGTTAATGTGTCTACGAAACAGCAATAAAACATTAGTTGGGTTTTTATCGCTACCTTACAGTACGAATAAAGTTAATCATAACAAAAAGATCCTCACCACTCTTACACAATGACGTCACCTTTTGTCTCTGACAAAGAGTGCACTCGTTTAAAGAACCGGTTTATCCCGGCGAAAACGCCGAGCTTCGTTTTAGTTGTTTTCGTTTTGTTTTGTTTTTTGAAGATAGAAACTCAAATATAACTTCGAACATGGTAAACCGTGAAATACGTGATTTAATGTCATTTTTAAAATTATTACATTAATAAAATTATATATGGAACAAATAAATATTTAATAGTTCGAAAACAATATTGCGAAAACATTTAGTTATTACAAATTACATAAGCTACATCTATTCCCAAGTAATTTTAAGTAAATCGTCGCTTGTAACTGCGAGTAAATTGAAATGAAATAGCAAAATATAAACTAAAAAAGTGTTTAAAAAACAAATTATGTTTTGTTTGTTTATTTAGTATACTGGCATAAGCTAGTGTGTAACGCACTGCTTTTGCATTAATTTCGTTTTCCAACAGTTATTTGAATGTATTTATTCAATTCTCTCCCTCGCCCTCTGTCTTCTCAGCCGGGCGGAGACTGTTCCTTTCGTCCTACAGCAGTTAACTGTATGCGTTTATTTTCTACACCGCTCTGTACATGTGTGAGATTCATGTTCATGTCTGTAATTCAAATTCAATAGAATAAATCATTAATTAATTAATATCTTTACAGTCATATGCGATTTGTTAAATGTAAGTTACGGGTATATGACGTCGTTCAAAAATGTAGCGGAATATTCTGGAATATTAACCCGACGTTAAACTAATCTGCTCTGTCTCTTTAAGAACATGCTGTTGTTACCGGAAGTGTAAGGGGTGTTTCCGGCTGCCCCCCCCCTTTCTGCTCCACTGTCAGTATTGACACCTCCCGCCCCGGCGACCCCACAGTGTCCGCTGCTTCATCTCCGTCACCGCAGCCAGCGTCTCGACGGTACCGTCCAAGTATATATTTGCCTGGGTTTCTCTCAGAGGACGGACCGGGCAGAGGAACCGGAGTCGCCTGGAGCTTTAAAGCCCGGACTGTCATGATCCGTGCGGCGCAGAGATGGCGTCCTTCCCCGGTTTGTGTAGGTCCGTGGGTGCCGCGGAAGAGGACGGAGAACAGGACGACTCACTGCAGCAGATGCTGAAGGCCATTGCCGACGAGAGGAACCGACTGAACGCCCGGCAGGAGATCAGCGGCCTGGGTAAGTCCGCGGTCACGGGCCGGTCTCTGTACTGTCTTTGTTTCTTACCCACTGACATCATGTTCCTCACACAGTCACGTGTTTTTCAGACATCACACTCAGATGTTGGCCCCTGTAGGCGCCCCGGGGGTCACTGACTGTCACCTGCTTTATTACCTGTTTTTCACTGAATGTTCAATATGTGGTTCACGGTTCATTTAGATTGACCTTAGTGTCGAGTCCTTAGCTCCATGGGTTTAATCACAGATTTTCCACCAATCTCTCGGCTGATTCTCCATGTTTACTACACTTACTGTTGATTATAGCTCCAGTCGAAGCCACATTTCCATGGTAACACGACCAAACCGTTCTTTATCAGTTGTAACAGATTTGTAGTGTAGACAATGTGAATACCTAGGAGACATACTGCTCAGCTGCTCAACAGTTTGTAGTGTAGACAATGTGAATACCGAGGAGACATACTGCTCAGCTGCTCAACAGTTCTTAGTCACTTCGATCCAAGTCTCGTCCCTCTGCTTCAGACACTATGACAGGAAGAGAAAGAGAAAGCTTTTCCAGAACCTTACTGACACATTATCACACATTATCTCGACAAGGCAGTCGTTTCCAAACCTGAATCTTATGCACATTCAGCAGCAGTTTCCATTAAATTTTTTTTTACAAACAGAAAATTAATCTGCCCAACTCTTTAAATATTGAAAAATAATCTACTTAATTGCTGCTGGAGACAAATTAGAAAGAACTGTGGGCTCTAAAGTCAGCGTTAGATTTACAGGAGGTACAGTGTGAAGAAGCTGTGGTTTCACTGATGAACTCTTCAACAACTGATCAACGACACCTTTGATCAGATCAGAGCTGACTGTTGTCATTCACTCATTTTTACTCACAACATCTTCTTTTCCTCTGTGGCCTCTTTGCTCTGAGCATCGATATACACTTGTATTTTTTTTCCCCACCAACAGGAAAGGCAACTAAAAATAGATCCAGACTTTTGTCATTGTCTGTGGACACAGAGGTAGATCGTGTTTAAAAGAAACACAGTCAGGGAAAAGGTTTCACTCTTCAGGTTCACCTGTGAAAAAGTGTCTGACTGTCAGACTCTGTCGACTTTAGAAGGTTCTGGTAGTTTGAGTTTTTCTGTAACAAACTAGATACAATCTTAATGTCAGCGCTGTGGTAAAAAGCTTTCATTTTAGATTTTTTTTTTTTGATTGGATGAATTTTTAAGTTGAAATGTAAAGGAAATCTTTTAACTGCTGCTGTGCGAAGGGTATCCGCCACTGAACAACACAATGTGTCATTTATAAGTGTCATTTCCCAGCACTAATTACACTTGTGAAATTACTTCACTTTTCTTTTTTTTTTTGCTGACTGAGCGCTGCCACTCCTCTCCTTCGTCTGCCCTTCCCCTTTTTTAAAACACCAGAATGCACCTAAAAAGTTTTTGAAAATGTTGTATGAAAGTGTATGAAAGATAATATAGGATAAGACTGGCCAATTCACTACAACTGTTTTTACCTGATTAATTGTGTAGCTCTATTGTAATTTACCTTTGCCGTACGTTGGCCTTTCTCCAGAACCAGTACAGCAGTCATTTTGACCGTTCATATATGCGCATTATACTTAAATAATTAACATAAGTTATATTAATCAACGTGCGTAATTTTGCCCTCCCTGTACTGGAGTCTACACCAGGGGTGTCAACCTTATTTTGGTTCACGGGCCACATGCAACCTAATTATATGTCAAGTGGGCCGGATCAGTACTTTGTTTTCATGCAAAAAAGCATGTTAGATATTTATTATTATTATTTATTCACATATTTAATTAAATATAATTTTACAAAAGAAATCTGAAAATGAAGTATTTGTGTGTATTTATTTTATTTTCAAAATTCATCAAGCGGGCCGGATTAAACACCCTAGCGGGCCAGATTTGGCCCGTGGCCCATGTGTTTGACACCGCTGGTCTACACTGTGTACTTCCTCCAAACGATAAATCTGTTGCCAGACTGGCGCTCAGCTAAGTTCTCATCCCGACTCTCTCACTGTCTCATATTGATTTCACATCCTTTGAACATGTGGTTAAAAACAATAATAATGGTTTTGTTCTGGTCATTTTTCATGGCGTGGTGTTCTAGTTGTTCTCATGTGACCTAAAAGTCGCCACGGCAACATCTGATGACACAGATACAAATGGAGTCATCAGATCATGTGACACCAGCTGCTGGTGCAGCGTGAAACGTCAACACCACGTGACGTCTAAGATCTTAATTTGTATTATTTTGTTTGTTTTTCGTCAACACCACGTGACGTCTTAATTTGTATTATTTTGTTTGTTTTTCTCCTCCAGGATGTTTTAAGGATGACCGCATCGTCTTCTGGACCTGGATGTTCTCCACCTACTTCATGGAGAAGTGGACCCCACGTCAGGATGACATGCTGTTTTACGTCCGCAGAAAGTTATCGTACGCCAGCACAGATAACGCCGACGGAAAAAAGGTGACGATGCTTGAGTCCAAGATTTGTTAGCAAAGCAGATGTTTGGTTTCTCCATGTTTTGTCACTGCATATGAGGTGAAGCACATTAATAGCTGCTGTACTTCAGTTGTTATCTGAGGTCACGGTTTCTCACATTTAAAGAAACCATGTTAGCGTTATGTAGGTTGCAGGTCAAATTCAGCCGGTAAGAATCGTTAGCGGTTTTACCTCCAGTCATGAAAACCCCAGGTTTATAGGATATCGGCAAAAAGCTAATATCGGAGCTCTCTACAGCAATCCAAGTCACATCAACTGGTGTAGCGAGTCGACGGCGAGTCTCAAAGTTCGAGTAACCAAAGAAAGATTTTAGTCAGGTTTCACCAGGTAAACAGCGCTACAATCGTAGTACAGTCGGAGAACCAAGACGTCAATCCAAGTCACGTTCAACGAGGTTGGTGACATCATTTCCTATTGACACATTCTAAGGTGGAGGTGGAAGTTTACAGGCGAGACTCTAAGAAGCTTCCAGGCCTGGGTGATCCGGACATCGACTGGGAGGAGAGTGTTTACCTGAACCTTATCCTGCAGAAGGTGACGATCTTCACAGAGGTCACAAAGGTCACTTAGCCCAGAAGTCCGTTTACTAAACGTCTCCTTTGTTTTTATCCCAGCTGGACTACGTGGTGACGTGTGCCGTCTGCACGCGCTCAGACGCAGGGGACATCCACATCCACAAGAAGAAGTGTCAGGTAAGGAGGTTGAGTCGCGCCAACTACCGTGCGGCGGCCATGTTTAATTTATCCGGGGCTTCTCCTCGTCCAACAGGAAGTGTTTGCATCTCCCAGTAAACACGCCATGGACAGTAAAGGGGAGGAGTCAAAGATGAGCTATCCCAACATCTTCTTCATGATCGACAACTTTGAGGAGGTAAAACACGCCGATGCCCGCGGTCGCGCTAGCATTGTCGGTATCAGTGTGCATACTTTTTTGTGTAAATTTTTTTCATCCGCGTTCAGGTTTTCAGTGACATGACGGTCGGGGAGGGTGAGATGGTTTGTGTCGAGCTGGTGGCCAGTGACAAGACCAACACCTTCCAGGGCGTCATCTTCCAGGGATCCATCCGCTACGAAGCGCTGAAGAAAGTGTACGACAACCGGGTGAGGAGCTTTCTAAACTGTAGCTACGTTATTAGGTAGAAATGTAGAAAATAATCTTTCTATGTCACAAATTTCTATGGCACAGATCTAGTCCTAGTTCCATCAGATCTAATGTTAACATAATCGTAATCACCAATCATGCGATCCCGCAGGTTAGCGTAGCGGCTAAGATGGCTCAGCGCATGTCCTTTGGCTTCTACAAATACAACAACATGGAGTTTGTCAGGATGAAGGGGCCACAGGGCAAAGGTCACGCCGAGATGGCCGTGAGCAGGGTCCCGACCGGAGACACGTCGCCCTGTGGCACTGAGGAGGATCAGGTGTCCCCCATGCACGAACGGGTGAGGAGGAGAGACTCCATTTCTTTTTCTTTTTCAAGTATTTGAACAAACATAAAATGGGAACAAGTTAAGTCTCAAAATGGCAGAAGCTGACAAAAAAAAATACCAAATGAATAATTAAGGTAGTTCGGAAATAAATAAAGAAATTACTAAATATTGAAGCCAACAAAAACGTACCCTCAAAAGTTGTCGTTGACCTGTGACGGTTCGTGGTCACGTCGCCATCTCCCATACATTTATTAAGAAAGTCTTGTTGCATCATTCGGTAGTATAGCGTTAAAACTAATTTCGCACGGGAACAAGCCGGCAAATACACCATCATGATGATTAGCGCTATACGCAGAAGACATCTTTGTTTACATTCGCCGGTTGTATGCCATACATTGAATCAAGCTACATTCACTTTGTTTTTTATTTGTGTTGTTTTTTTGGGAACTTTTTGCCCTTCATTATGTCTCCCAGGCCCAAGTCAGACTCTTTTGGTTATGGTGTTAGCTCTGTGTTAGCATAGCTCAGTGACATAGGTACTTATGTACAGTATGTAAGTTCCGACACATGGCTAAAATCGAGTGACGTTGCACCGTAGGAATGGAATTCCGATGTAAGTCGAGGACCCTCTGTGTGTAATCCCACTTACCCAAAGTAACGCACTGCACAGAAAAGTCAAATCAGCTACAAAATGCTAAGAGGTAGCCCAAAAATGTCTAAAGAGTAACGTTTTACACAGTAGCATAGAATATATTTTTACTGATTTTATAACCCACATAAAATGTACCATTGGTATGAACTTTGACATTAAAGTCTGATGAGGAGGAAACAAAAACATGTTACAAACAAACGTGTCAGTCATGAAGCAGAAGTGAAGGAGTTTCACTTCCTCCAGTCTTTACTGCTTTGAAAACAGCAGAAGCCGGGATGAAACCGGGTCAGGCTCTGATCCTGAATCTTTCCCGATGTTCTCACAGCTGTTGGTTCACAAAAGGTTCAAACCCAACACCGTCTTCTCCTCTGTGTCCCTCCTTCCTGTGTCCTCCAGATGACGTCCTTCAGCACACCTCCAACGCCGGAGAGGAACCGACCCTCCTTCTTCTCACCGTCACTGAGGCGAAAAGTTCCTCGAAACCGAATCGCAGAGATGAAGAAGTCTCACTCAGCCAATGACAGCGAGGAGTTTTTCAGGGAGGAAGAAGATGAAGGTATATGTTCTCTGAGGACCAGGTGTTTTAGGTTTTTATTTGGGAAGTCCGATAATAGGCTGATAATAACCGATTACATTAGGGTAATTATTGGATATGAGCAATAATCGTTATCGTTTTTTACTCTGATAATGGCTGCATGAATCGGTATTGGTTGATATCAGAATCGGAAATTTACTGTTTGCACAATATCAGCATATTGGATATCGGCAAAAAGTTAATATCGGACATCCCTAGTTTTTATAAATAATTACCAGCTTTTTAATCTTCGGTAAACGTAAAGTTTTATTCACCTATTATCTAGCATGTTTGCGTCTGTGCGTTAGCTTCAGTTTGAGTGTTAGAGATCAATGTGTGTTAACGTTTGTGTTTGTTTCAGATCTTCACACCGCCACCAACCTGCGCTCGCGATCCCTGTCAGGAACCGGTCGATCCCTCGTCGGCTCTTGGCTCAAACTGAACCGGGTTGACGACTACTTCCTGTTGTATTCGCATCTGACTTACGTCACGCTGCCACTGCACCGCATCACCACAGGCAACTATTTCATTTCTTAGTGTGGTTTGTGAAAAGGCTACATATTAGCTTAAAATTAGCGCGAAATTTGTCACAGGAAATGAACTTTAATTTAAAAATTAGCCAATAAAAAAGCTAAATAATAGAAGCTGAAGCTAACAGAACTAGATGAATGCTGAATTTAGGTAGAAAACACAACTTAAGGCGATGGTTTTCAATTATTTTCTGTCATGACGGAAATGTTTTAACGCCACGTTTTTTGAGTTGAAAACAGTGGAATAATCCTTTTTGGTCGTCTCTGTGTTTGTCCTCAGACATCTTGGAGGTTCGGCAGAAGCCCATCTTGATGACATAGCAGGCTTTGGACTCCTGACCTTCAGAGCATCTGTATCAAGTGCCTCCTGCATCAGGCCACTGACACACACACAGCAGCAGCAGCAGCGTTAGCGCCGCCCAGTGCCCGCGCTGATATCACAACCAAACACCCGGGACACCAAACTAACTAACAAACAAACAAACAAACCAGCCATTTTCAGGAAGTGCCTCCTCTTCTTCCTCTTTTCTATTTACATTTCCTGCTGCGAGATCACAAATGTGTTGATCACATGACCTCAGTGTTGAACAGGTATTGGCTGAACTATTTAGCAGGAAGGAAGTATCGATCGTTTGTACATACTGCTGCTATCCTCACAGAGACTTTGACTTTGAGGATATTGCTGTCAAACCAAGCATCAGCAAAGACTCCGCCCACTGGGTATTTCACTCCGCCCACTGTTAGACTGACCCGCCCCCTTCATCGCCGCCTTTTCTAACCTAGATTACGCTGGACTCGTCTGGAGTCCAACATGTTTCTGGGACATCTTCTTTGCTTTTGTTCTCATTTCCTTAACACGTGGTCGACCTGACGCCTTGAACGACGTTACCCACAATGCACCTCAGCTCCTCAGTGGTCACTACAGTCAATATTTCTTTCGAGCTCTCGATGAAAGTAATCTCCAAAGTCCTGCGTCACGGATGAGTCGTCGTCCAGACCTTCAACTTTACACTTTAAAACAAACTGGAAGTGACTTGAAAAATGACTGATGTTCCAAAAAAAAAAAGGGAAAAAAACAGAAGGAACACTTTGATGCAAAAGGAAATGGCTGCTAAGAAGCGGCTTCTGACGGAGAAGCAGGTTTTTCCCGAGTCTGATCCCTAAAGCCTTAAAAACCTGAAATGTCACCGATTCTCAGTCTCTTTTACTTTTTTTTCCCTCCGTGTCTCTGATGTTTCTGTCGAAGTTCGTAAAAATCCAAATACGTTTCTTTTGTTTTTTTAACTCAGTCACGTAAGTTAAACAGTTTTTTCTTTTTCATACAGAGCAGAAAGTGGTGTTGAAATAATAAAAGCTGATAAATTTGACAACTCAATTGTCAGATTTTCTTTTAATTTAATGAAGATAAAAAAGGTCAGATTCAGTAATGACACCAGTGTCTTTCATAGAGTATATAACTGATATAACTGTAAGGTTAAAGCTAATGACTAAAACTGCGCTGCGCATATCTTGTAAGGATATTTTGAGCATTTAAAGTATTTAACCTGGATCACTCTTTCAGTCTCTTCGCTGTGGTTTTCACTCTGACATGGACAGCTAGGAGAACCCGATCTAAGTTGGACCAAATGTTGCTGTTCCAGCACAGTTAGTTACTAAGTCTTCAACAGAACCCCCTGAAAACCCACAGATTTCCTCCTTCAAAATTCTGCGTCAAATTGAAAATAGTTCAATTTGACTTAATTTTTTTTTTGGCATAAAAACATTATAGAAGTTGCTTCTAAAGAACACGCCTGTTGGCTAATGTAGACTGACTGTAATTCATTTAGACGGAGCTGCTTATTGAACAGCGATCGTTTTGCCACTGTTGTCGAATCAAAGTGAGTCGTGTGTTGTGTGAGAGGCGTCTCCTCAGTGTTATTGATTATTGTATATTGAATGTATCCACGCTGAAATACTGACAGTTTGCACTGTAAAAATGCTTCTAGAAGCTGTTTTTCTTCTTCTTTTGTCCCTGCGTCACTTTAAATGTAAAAATGCTTCTAGAAGCTGTTCTTCTTTTGTCCCTGCGTCACTTTAACTCCTCACTGTTCACAGCTTTTGTAAAAACTTCACCTTTGACTCTGTAACTTTTTATTTATTCAAATACATGTGAATTAAAAAAAACCCTCTCTTTGACGCCTTGTGCCTGAAGTCTTTTCACTGTGGCCTCTGGATTTGACTTTTTCGGGCATGGTGGGAAATTTCACACTGATATTTAAAGTTATATTTCCTGAGCCTGTAGTCACTCTTTTCACCCCCAGCCATTAAAACTGATCACAGTTCTTCTGGCCATATCGTCACAGTTTTAAATATTTTAACTTGTGTTTTTCTCCAGCATGCATCAGAAATGACAAGAGCGCCCTCCTGTGGTTGTAGTCCCTACAACTCGGATCCAGACTCCACAATACAGGTAAAAAGAAATGTGGGTTTTCTGTTGATGTCGCAGCTTGTCGCCTTCTTTGTTTCGTTTTACCATTAGCTGTTGATTCCTGATAATTCCCGTAAATACTGTAGTAGAAAAAGTTCCTTTATGGACTAAATATATATGAAGTAACTAAAGACTACTTGCCAACCTTTATTTAAATTGTGTTGTTTTTCGTATTCCTCATTAAACAGGTAAATGTTCAAAAATCTGCCAACCACTGTCCTAACATCAGTTCTTGGTCCTGGCAGCAGAGAACCACCAAGTTCCTGGTACGTTTTACTGACCCGTTATATTTCCTTTAATCTTCAAATGGGAGTAACTTTAGGTTCCGGGCCAAACCTAACTCCTTTTTAGTTCATATTGTTAGAATAAACCTTAAACACAACCGATCATTGAAATATTTCTTGTGTGAAAACTAATTCTTGATCCATCTGTTCCGAACCTTGGTCTGGCCTTTGGTCCCACACCATGTTATTCCTGGAACATCTATAAATATATGATTTCAAAGTGAGATGGTCCATTACTATACTGTATAAATATATGGTTTCAAAGTGAGATGGTCCATTACTATAGTATATGGGACCAATGGCGCCCTCTAGTGATGAAACTGACTGACAGTTTTGATTTACTTAACCCTTTACATGACAATCATCTCCTGTATTTTGTAAATTTATTTTAATTTACAATAGTTAGTCACTGGTAAAAACAAGTGAAAACAAAGGAAAAATCTGTGGCCATGTTTGTTTTATTCATCGTTGACAAACTTTCAGACGATGACAGCCTCGTCCAGAAGAACACAAAAAAATAAGAGTCCATGTTCACAGAAAAAAAAAAACAGAATAAAAGTCAGGTGAGCAGACACATCCCTTTCACACCATTAAACTCAAGCTTCATCCTCAAATCCTGACCAATAAATAGACTGCAGGACAAAAAAAGGAAAAAAAAATTGAAAGCAGCAGACTGATGTTGCTCTGACATTTAACCTTTTTACTGCCAGTATTAATTTGTAAAACCAAATTGACTTTTTCCTCAGAGCTCCCTCTCCCCCCAAAAAACCTTAATGGTAACAAGTGAAGATAATTTAGATTGTTGGGATCTTCATAAAAATTACAATCTTTAATCTACGCTCAGTTCCTGTTACCAGATAAAAAAAAACGTGTTTATGTCATGGTCTATTTACTTCCTGTTTCAGCAGCAGCATGGATGTTGCACTGAGGAATGTGGTGGTGATGTCACAGTTGCTGCCGCTTCTTCTGATTAAAAATAAACATTTCACAGTATAACAGATTTGACAGATTTGTTGCGTTGATTAACCAAGATGACTGAAATATACCATGATGGAGTTTGTTCCACCACTGGGTGGCAGACCTGTTAAAACCTCTGACCCTCAACGTTTCTTCTCCTCCAGCGTCTTGTGCAGCTCGTCGGCGTCCTCTGCAGTCTTCACCCGGATCAGCAGCGGTATAGGGTTGTTTGGGTTTTTTTCGTCGATGGGTGGGTTCGGAGCACAAACCACCATCACGTTGTTTTTACCGAGGCGGGAACACGGCATGGACGACTGGATGATGATGTTCAACAGGATGTTTCCTGATGAAGAGGAGGAACAAGAGAAGGTTGGTGTTGAGAGCAGAAGGTAGACCCTACACACAGCAGGTCAGAAGGCCTTCATCATCTTACAGTGTTGAAACATCTAATGATGCAGAACATTACATTACATACTGTGATGTTTTACATGACTGAAGTTATGACTGTGCTGTCATGATCAGATGATATGACTCAGTTTTCCAGAAAAAAAAAATGTTCTGATGAAGATGAAATTTTGATCAGATGTTCTGACTTTCAATATTCAATCATTCCAATCACCTTTCCAATTGTTTAGTGTCAAGTGACTTTGGCGTTCTAACATTCCTGTGATTCACCAGTAGGTGGCTCTCTGAACTATAGTTCTTTAAGAGGCTCCTCAATGTAAAAAGAGAATAACAAAACTCGGTGTGATTAAACAAAGTGTCACTGTTTTTTTTGTTTCATTCTGATTATCTACGCAGTTATGGTCTCCTGACAATCTGCAGAAAGGACGTTCAGATTCACATTCCTTTAACTGCACAGCGATGACGGTTCACTCTCTGACACTGTGTGAACAAGAGAAACGACCTGCAGTACCGCTGATTAACCAGCAAGTGGCTATCGGTAAATTTGTTTTTCATACTTGCCCTTTGCTCACATTGACGTCATTAAATTGTTTGGGAGTAAATACAAAATACAAGCTTCAGTCGTTATCATTGTGTTCCACATATTTTTTTTCACTTAATTTTCTGAAATTAATGAAATAGTACAAGTATAGAATACCAGAGTAAACATGTAGCCTGTTCAATGACCAGCAGTGAACTGGACTTAAAAATATCTTTAAGTCACTTTAAATTGCGTAAAAGGTTGTGTATAAATGTCCGTTACCCAGGTTGGTGTCAGCTCTGATGATCATCTGCGTCTTTCCGTCAGTCATCTCCTTCAGGTGAAGTGTCCCCACTCCTTTCTCCTTAAACTCTGAATCCTTTTTATAAAACAGTTTACACCTGAATGTAGGAGAGAGTGAGGAACACTTAGACTCTAGAGGCCAGAATTCTTTTGTACTGACAGTGAAGGTGACTAAACAGGAGGAGAATGTTGATCAGTTTGGTATTTAGACAGAACCCTACAAACAGAATTGTCAGCCGTCATCTAAAAACAAGACTCATACGACCAAAACTTATAGATAACGTGCATTTTTTGAGGAATGCGAGCTTAGAACAATGACATACTTCTTTGAGTAGAAAGCATCTTCTTCTTTCACCTCTTTGACCTCAGGTTTTGGCGGTTCCTCAGACTCTTCATCTGCATTCTCACCTGAGAAGGAAAAAAAAAGCTTTAAAACTCCTATTCTTTAACAAAAAAAAGTGATAATCTGGCTCTAGAAACATTTCGTATTCACAGACATTAAATCAATCAATTATTTGTTTCATCACCTGCAGCATCTTCAGATTTGGTCGCACTGAAAGACAGTGGAGCAGGAGACCCTGAAGATCCAAACAGTGATTTCTGACTGGTAGAGGAGTTGGAGAAGGAGAAGCCTGGTTTGGAGCCTAAGGTTCCAAGAACGGAGCTGTCAACCTTCTGACCAAAGTTAAAAGTGACTCCAGCCGGGATCGGTGTCGAAGTTGAATCTGAGTCTTCGCCTGTTTTTTTGCCAAGGGAGAACAATGAGGTGTTGGGAGCAGGAGCAGAACTTAAAGCGCTGCTGCCGCTGTTAGAGGAGGAAGGAGACAACAAGGAGGGAGTGGCAGATTTGGGAGACGAAGATGATGCTGCTGCTGCTGCTGGGAGCTTCACTTCCTGCTTTTTCTCCTCAGAAACTCCTGCTCCACTACCGTACTGACGCTCAATGCTGGCCAGGTGGCGCTCATAATCCTTGAAAATAGGCTGGAGGTCGCAGAGTGGGTTGTCATTTACGTGTTTGGTGATCCAGTCCCTAACGGAGCAGTTGAGAGCAGTCAACTGGCGACTGTACTCCTTGCTGTTGCCGTTGCTGTTGCTGCTGCTGGGACTCTGAGTCAGGCCGTAACAGGAGCCATTGGTCTGTTTGGTTGTGACATCAGCCGAGGCATTGGAGGTGGAGGAGCTGTTTAATGTGAGACCTGGGAAAATGGGAGACACGAATGTTAAGGATGGATGAGGAGGAGGATAACATGATGGAAGCCCCTCCCCTTTATTTCATTTCCCCTGCAGCCACAAGCAAATGGAGTAAAGGAGCAGAGGGATGCAAACGCCACTTCCTTTTGCTCCATTTCACTCTCATACAAAAGCAATCCGATGGTGTATAAGGACCATTTAACAGACTTAAAGGAGAGTCTGATCAGATAAAACACTGAATAACATTCAACACAGGATAACTCCAACTCTGAAAGTCAACTGTGAAAATGAAGGTAAAGTAAAAGCAGGCACTGGCCGCGTTACCAAAGACATAAAAACTCTTTCTACTCACTTGGAGCAGTGGTAGACGTTGTAGATGAAAACCCCTCAAATGAGGGCGCGGCACTGGTACCGTTAGTCAGATCACCAAAACCTTTGAAGGTTCCACCATTGCCAAAGGCAGAAAAAATGGGTGTCGTTGAGGCTGCGCTCGCTTCTGATGTGGCCAAAGAAAAACCTTTAAAACCTTTGAAAGCTGTGTTGCCGTCACCCTGGAAGAAAAACAAAATATTCCCATAAAAAATACGAAACACATTTAGAACTATTGAACCATAAAACTGAGTTTCACCTCGCTCCCGACATTTCGACGCTTAGCCTTCTTAATCGCACGATTCTTCAACACATCGTGACTCGCAACAGAAAATGTTCCTGCCTGAGGAAGAGTGACAAATCAGGTTTAACTTTCAAACTTGCCCCCTTTTCTTTGTTTTTTATATACAACAGAACTCACTTCCTCTCCTTCCTCCTCCTGATCCCAGTTCCTGTCAGTCAGCTCTTTGTCTGCAATTCTCTTTGCCATTGCACCAGCTCTGCAACACAAAACGCAATTATTGGACTTCAGATATAGAACCATGTCACAATAAGAAAGACAGTGCTGTCGACACACCTCCAGTGTTAACAGTGTTTGGAGCATTAACATTTTACACAACCCATAGGTGCACTTTAAGGTACAAACAGTTGAACAGCAGTTAGCATCCATCATTTTTTCATGGTTTTATTGCTTTTTCTGTCAGCTAAGTCTTTCTTTGGTGTACTGAGACTTTGATGTTTGTCTGGACATATGGTGTGTTGCCATAGTGTGTAAAGTTCCAAGTCAAGAGTGTAGAACATGACACATTTAGAAACTGCCTAACTCCCACTGACCACATTCATAAAGATTCAAGAACAACAAGCTGATTTTTTTTCTGTACTCTAACTGCAGTGGGATTGCCGTCATGGGATTACCTGGTTAACTGATCCAGCATATTCCAATTGAATAAATAAACCACTGGCAGCTGCACCTGATTTTTCGGACCGTTGTAAATAGACAATGAAATGCCAAGGAAATGACACTGGGGTCATGAGTTCATGACCCCTAATCCGAGAGGTTTTCTCTTCCCTCTGCTGTCTTACATCTATCAACTTAGGTGCAGGTAAATATATGGTCTGTAATGTCAGCTTTTTTTAATCTTCATTTTCTTCGATTTTCCTGGATAATCATTTATTCACGAAAAGTTGCAATTCGTTATTTATTTCTCGAATGTTTTACTGGTGTAAAATTCGACAAACTTGTGGGAAAACATAACTTAAATCACCGTTCGGCATTATCCAAAGCTCATTCGGGTAATAAAAGCATATGTGAATATCTCTATTTGGCATTAAAGGGCATAAATGAAGTTACACTATCCATGTGCTGTGAGAAATATTTTCACCATAACCGTGGAAACACATGTTAACCGGTTCAGTCAAAGTATTGCATCAAGGGTCGGGCTGTTAGCCGGTAAGCTTAGCAGGCCGATGCTAACGTTAGCTGCTCTGAGACTAGCCTAGATTCACGTACCTTTTCTGGAATGTTCAGTCGAGTCAGAGAGGCGGCTGCGTATAAAACCTTTCAACTTCAACAACAGCAATTTCACACGGCGAAAATGTCAAAACCAAGTGAGTGTAAAAGGAAGAGTGAAAGCCGTATTTGTTTTTGAACGAGTCACGCCGCCATTTTACACGGCGGCACATCCGCATGGGTTCGCGCCTCCCGCTTTTTGCGCATGTGCAACGGATGAAGCCTGTTTGGCGTTATGGGAAATGTGGTCCAAAATGTGAATAAATCAAAACGTAAATACTGTAGTCTATTATTTAACTGTATTACAATTCAAATGTTCAAACAAAGCAAATGTGCTATTGTTTTTCCGTTTGTGTTTAGATTTTTGAAATGTATACAAAATATACTATTATAATAAATATCTCACAGAAATTTCAACAGGGAATACAGTTTGTTTCACTTTACAAATTAATCTACAGAGCCACTAACAAATAGAAAAGTTGAGTTTTTGCACAGAAACACCAATAATCTCTTGTTTAAATTTAGTGTCCCAAAAGAGAGAGCTGGAGACTAGCAGTACCCATTTCCCTCAAACATAAAACATACAGTTTTTTGGTAAAGGTTGAACAATGCAACTAAAATGTTTAGGGTAAACGTTTTAGTTTCATTTTGGACATAGTGTATAGTCATATTTAACACATTTTCCAACATAAAACCAAATTTGTGTTCTTTTCTCAAACAGCTTCTCGGCGCAGGGTGCACCCACAGCAATGTCACTGCTGACCATCTGTCACCCCTTCATACATCCGTACATGTAAACAAACGTTGACTATTTTTCTAAGATCTGACCAAAGTGTTAGATTTACAAAGATGACAATAATGTCTTTTTTTTCTTTTACTTCCAAACCATTATTCCTGCCTGAAGGTCAAAATAACTCTGAATTTGAGATGAATAGTGACAGTAGTCAGCTGACTGCAGGTGGTAAACTAGCTCACTTTTCATTTTACCTACACACACTCACACTCGGCTAAATGGTGTCTTTGGGATTCAACAGCAAGCCCTTCAGTGACTGTGTGCGTGCACATGCTAGCTTGTGTGTGTGCGTGCGTGCGTGTGCTGCTTGCTGAGGCTCGGGGGATGCTGGGGCTAAACTGGTGCAGAGCTGGGCAGCAGATGGCTCATCTCCAAGCTCTCAGGATCCCGGTCGGCTCTGCCAAACAGGAACAGGTGCTGGAGAAAGTAGGAAGTGAGCTGTGGGCCCTGGTGGCAGCAGGAGACCCTTGACCAGCTGGCGAGGAGAAAATGGAAAGAGTTGGCAATGGAAGAGAGAGAAAACCTGTGTCATGTTGAAGGATGAGGAGTGAGAGACGATGTGATGGAGAGAGACAAGATAACATCCGACACACTGAGAAATGAGTGAGAAATAGGAGAGTTCTTTGGTTGGAAGAATTAACTTACATATATTTTCTCCGACTACACAATATGAAGAACTATATGAAGAAATATTTTTATAAATAGAAAGAATTCGTTCGTCTCCACGAGACGCAGAAGCGTACAAAAATAAGAGAAGCTGGGTCACTGCTTGTCAGAGCTACATTTGTGGTGCAATTGCACAAAGTCTCGATAAGTCGATCAGTTTCTTATAAAGGTGAAAAAGCTGCTATGTGGATTAGCTTAACCACCAGAGGCCACTAACTCCACAATAGAGGCCTTCTACTCCTGCAGTGTGGTGAGGATTATATGGAGAGGATCCCCTTGCTCAGTCTGGGGGGCCGCAGCCCCTTCCATGCAGGGGCTCTTTTTAGCCTGGGGCAGCTGCTAGCTCAGAGACTTGTCGATCTCGCCGGGCCATGAACAGAATTAAAGGCAGAGAGTCTCCGGAGAGAACAGATAAAGTATCGATCCACGTGTTGAACATCAGCCATGGATGTAAATGAGGAGAGGAAGACGGGGAAGGACACAAGTAGAATTCCCAAAGTCAGTTGTGTTTTTGTCCAGTTCGTATCAAAGCTGACGGACAACTCGGTGACGCCGCTCCAGCAGTTGTTACACCTGTGTGTGCTTGTGTCTGAACATCCTGTCCGGTCCTGTTCAAGACTAAAATCTTACATTTTTACTGGACTCGAGCAATATTTTTTTTTTCTCAGAGTTATGGCATCATTAACATAATCATCAGCGTGTATGAATAAAATAATGTGATGCAGCAGTTGTTGACCTCATTAATGATGATGTTGGATTAAATCATCAGACTGTCTCCTGTAATCATCCTGCTGGCAGACACACACACACACAGAGTTACAGTTACACCGCAGAGTAGGTGACGCTGTAACCAAGTAGAAATAATTGTGTGGACATACAGGAGGAGACGGTTCAAAGACAGAGATGAGCAGCAGCTGATTTGTTTCAGTGAGCTGTGTCTCTGTGGATTTGGAGCTACTGTCTTGTTTCTTTTAAAATAGTCTCATCTCCACTTCAGGTTTTGTTGTTTTTTTTTACTGTTTTTGTATAAATATGGTTGTCGTGTTTATTTTTGTACTTAGTAGTTTTTTCTTGTTCTTCTGTAGCTGTTTTTTTTCTCCATTTGTAGCTTTTTATGGCCTTTCATTTTTTGCAGTTGTTTCTGCAGTTGGGTCTGTATTTTGTTTTTTTTTTGTTCTCCCTTGTGAGTCTCTGTGGGGTCACATCATAGCTCCGCGGTGCATCAGTAGTTTTTGTGGTTGTATTTTCTCTCTTTATTTTCTAGTGTCTCTTTGTGATCCTTCTCCATAGTTATTGTTGTAGTATAACACTTTATATCTGTCTCATGCTCAGCTGCACGTTGGAGGTTTTTAATAACATTTCTCAAAATCTTTTTTCAGACTTAAGTCCATATAAATGTCAGTCGCTAGCTGCGACAATTCTTTACCCATCATGCATTTGACGGCGTGTGCAAGGACTGCGTCTGTAGAGAAAGGGGCTGCTGAACAGTTGACCTCACATGTACACGTTAACACCACATCACAACACACAGATGTGTTTCTGCCAGAGAGTAAATGAAATAATGAGTTTTCATTTGTGAATTATCAACGCGACTCTTCCTTCATTTAATTTGTCTGTGAGGCTGTTTATTCTCCATTCAGCCATAATTAAACTGCAGAAAGAGAAATAATGAATAAGCTTCTTATCTCACAGCCCCTGGCTGATTGTGGTCAACACACAAGATCAGCTGCTGCCGGAGCACGGTGAGGAAAAATGACAACAAGAAATCGGAGAAGAAAGCGGAGGGAGATTTTGAACTGAAAGGCTTTTCTTCTGTGTGGAGCTTCAGGATATTTTTACTGTTTGACATGAACATCCAACGTTTTAAACCACAGCTCACACCCACAGAACGACACTTACAGAAACAGATTAAACGTTATTAAAATCAAGCTTGTTTTTCTGCGGGCAACTTTAAACCATTACTGGGCTAGTGCTAAGTTTTAGTTTTTGTGCTAGTTTTGATGAGTGTCGGAGGTTTGTGCTTCATCTTGAACAGGCAGAAATATGGGCAAAAATAGAGCGGATGAAAACAGAGATAGAGACAGGGAGGCTAGAGTGACTAGACCAAACAATGAGCTGAGACCAACAAAGTGATGGAAGATGATGTATGTAGCCAGGGTAACATGAGAGTAATTTGGACCGCACAGGAGGCAGGTGAGAGTGGAAAACTAATGACTAAGAAAGACAACATGGATGGGCAGACAGACGTGACATTTTGGCTATCTTTTAGCTTTTTTAACTCTTTTTTTTTAGGTATTGCTTGTATTTGTGATAGCTGTTTTTGGATTTTTAACTCTTTTTTTAGTTGTTGCTTGTATTTGTGATAGCTGTTTTTGATTATTTGGTATTTAAATGTATGTTTTAATATTTTTACATCTGTTGTAGGATAGGTTGTACTAAAATGGATTCAAGGACGTTCGAATCATGCTAGATCAGGCATGGGCAAACTAAGGCATGCGGGCCGGATGTGGCCCATTCAGCTTTGTAATCTGGCCCAAACTGGTCCAAATGATATAATTGATTTGTATTGTGATTATAATACCCACGTTTTCCCTATAGATAGCGTAGAGAAGGCAAAAAGCACTTTAGCATTTTAGCCTTTATGCATGTCATTTATCTTAGTTCACATAACGCTCCATCTATTTGCTCCTCACCCTGGCCACCCTGTCAAATATCAGGATAAATTTTGGCCTGCGAGTCAAAAAGTTTGCCCACGCCTCTGCTAGATGCTAACCTACTATCTCACTACCGTTAATTTCAAATTCAATTTCTCAGTGAGAACAAAAAAAAGTTGAAACTGTTTTTGCTCAGAAATCATGTGACAGACTTGGAATCAGCTGGACGTTCTCTTTTATCTCCTCGTCAACCTAGGGCCAGATTCGGCCTCGGCCATCTGTCAGCCCTGGCAGCGGCCTCTGAGCGAGCACAGGCCGGCCCTGGACCCTGGACCTGGCCTGGCTGTCACTCATTCAAATCCAACACACAGTGTCTGAGCCACTGGAACAAAAAACACCAAAGTTTACACAGGCACCTATAAAACACATACTGTAGCTCAGAAAAAAAACCCCACAGTCTACGAACGCATCACACGCTTCACACCTAATAATGTTAATTTATGATTTAAGGACTCAATAATGTAGAGACACCAGGTGAGTGTATAAACTCCTTCTTTAATTAACAGCATAAATCAGTTCCTCATATGTCCTGAAGGTGATTCTTGATTTATTATTTAATATAAATCATTAAGCTTTGACTTAAAGAAACTCTGAGCTCAGTGTTTATGACCAAATAAAATGTATTATTTAGTTGATTTTAATCCTTTGTATATATACTGATGACCACATACAGTACATACAATAGTACTCTTTATAATTCAGTGTTTCTTATTTGACTTTCAGTTAGAGTGGAGGGTCATGAATTTGAGATACACAGACATTTAAGGAAAAAAGGAAAAATATTTTTTATCCCTTAAGCTATACATTAGCAATATGTTATCCGTCTCATTGTGGGTATTTGTTCTGTGTTTGTTTCTAACCTTGAACTTCCTTTGGACCTTTGCATGATGTTTCATAGTGATATAAGAATCACCTCTCTGAACCAGCCCTCACTTCTTCGTCTTTGTTAGATGTGGATCCCAGCTGGCAGCCTTTGATGCCTTTAGCTCTATTTTTAAACATACTAACAGCCCTGACCAGAAATTTCCTAAACCT